TGTGTCCCAAATGAAGCACTATACACTATGCACTTATTCTATGTACTTATTATTAGTGCTGTCAAACGATTAATCGCGATTAATCGCATCCAAAATAAAAGTTTTTGTTTACATAATATATGTGTACTGTGTATATTAATTATGTATATGTAAATACACACACATGCATGTATATATTTAAGAAAAATATGTTACGTTTATATATTAAATATATTTATATATGATATAATTTATATGAATATCAATATATACATGTAAACACATGTAAATATTTTCAAAATATATGCTGTATGTGTGTGTCTTTATATATGCATAATAAATATACACAGTACACAAACATATATTATGTAAACAAAAACGTTTATTTTGGATGCGATTAATCGCGATTAATCGTTTGACAGCACAACCTATTATATAAGGTTATTTTATCATCCAACATCAGAGTCTTCCACACTTTTTTTCAGGAACTTAATTGCATCATCTGGACATTTGAAATGCACTTTTTCTTGCTGCAGTGCGAACACACTAATCACACTAAAAACGGCATAGAATTGTGCATAAGTATGCAAATTGGGATGCAACTTTTGTTTCTTCATCAGAACAGATTTGGATACATTTAGCATTACATCACTTGCTCACCAAAGGATCCTCTGCAGTGAATGGGTGCCGTCAGAATGAGAGTCCAAACAGCTGATAAAAATATCATTATAATCCACAATCAATGAAAGTCTTGTGAAGTGAAAAGCAGCGTGTTTGTTAGAAATAAATCCATCATTTAATTCAGAGGATCCATTGGTGTTCTCCAGATGAAGAAACAAACTCATCTACATCTTGGATGTCCTGAGTGTGAGTCAATTGTCAGCAAATTTTCATTTTTGGGTGAAATATAGTATTCCTTAAAAATGGCACAACACAAAGTCACCTAGTAATAGAAATCAGTGGTGTTATTTTCAGTTTTATTTCAGCCACTGAAGTACATTTGTGGCCTCATACCACTGTTTATCTTGCATCATCTTACACAGGATAGTTTTTTTTGTTAAAGAGCACATTTTTACAGCCCTCTAAGTAAATATGCTGACACAAGTTCTCTTACATTCTTCATTGTTTCATTGACCCTCACTCTACAATTTATAAGTAACGAGTAATGCTAAAATGTAATATTTAATGTAGACTATATTGTTTAATATTTAGCCTAATTATTACTAAGCAGCTTTTAACTGCACTATTTTCAGGTACTATTTATATTATCATTAATATGTTTAACATGGACTCTGTTACATGTACTGTAGATCGCACATTTGCATACCAAGAAATATTAAATGAACAGGATGATCCTCAAAATAGAAGTGCAAGCTCAGAAAATATCCTTTATTTTGAATTCCCCGTTTGCTTAGCGGTTTGCGAGCTCTGCTTCAAAGCAGTGTTTGTTTTCAGAGCGGTGAGGGTCTAGAAAAGAAAGATCATGAGCTATGCAACAGGTTTTTTGATCTCGTCCAGACAGATAGAAAAAAAACTCTGTCAGGGCAAATGCGTAAGGAAGGTCACATATTGCAGTAATTACTTGTGGCCAAGAATAATAATTCCTAGATCAGCAAAGCTAAATGTGTGGCAGGTAGCCTTGAAAAGAGGCTTTTCTTTTCCCATCCCTCTCTTTTGAACAGAGTCCGGGTGTGGTGTGAAGTGCTTACATGTGTTTCTGTATGAAAGAAACGAGTTGTCAGGTACTTACCACTGCTTTCTATTCCCTAGCATGAAAGATGCTCTGATCTCTTTAATCTGTTTCCCAGCTAACAGGGAACGTTCTTAGAACTTTGGCTAATGTTCTGGCAAAGTTTTCTTAAAGTTATTAAACTTCTTCCAGTTATGTTAATAGAACCTTTGTTCAAAGTTATCTGGTCTTTAATAACGTTCTCAGAACGTTAACTCAAAAACATTTATTTTTAGATTGTTAACTTTTTTTGAACATTTTAGTTGGATGATCATCTAATGTTTTTTTTTTATGTTACTACTTATTAGTTTAAGAAGGTTCAGTGAACATTCAAAAAGTAACATTAGGGCGATTAGAAAGATACATTCATCATTCTCAAAGTGCAATCAAATGGAATCAGTGTCATATGATTATATCAGAGAGTGAGCCTCGTGTATGTCACTGTTTACTGAAACTGCTTCAGGTGACTTTGGATTGAACTAGGTTTCCCAGAATGCAACTGGCAAGAGAAGACTGAGAGTAAGCAGATGTATCATGAGCAGTGGTGTAGTCTAGTTTTTTGTAGTGTCATACTCACCGTCCCACAGCGACACCCCATAAGCACCACCACACTCACTAATTCATACAATATGCATCTATGTAACTGAGAGCATTCTGAAAGACTGCTTATGTGATATCAACATGTCAATTTATTATAAGCAACAGAAGACTTTAACAGCCAATGACATTTACAGCTGGGGAGACTGGACTGATTTCTTACTGTTTAGTGTTAATCATTTAACTCAGCCAGTTACAGTTATCTTAAGAATATGGTCTCTGGAGAATAGGTTTTATCAGTTGGCAATTTTCAATGCACATTTAAGAGTGCCTGTTTTTAAATTCCCTAGCCTGACTTTCAGTCCACAAGGTTGGTCAGGAGTTCTCATCTCTCTCATCATCTGAAACAAGGAGATATAAACATTGTATTGGGTTTAACTGCTGTAGACACATACACAGTATGTGTGTTATCTCTCCCCTTCTCTCGCATTCACTGATCCACCAGACTAACATTACTTAAGTTATTAGCTATGTTGCCTTGAGAAAGCCAACATACTGTTATACTATTTAAACTTATTATTCTTCTTCTGAGACCAATAATTTTCAACTGTACTGTATATCCTTCTAGGGCTTTAATGCTACAGGCACCAAACTCGTCAGAGACATTGGACCTGATCTGTAGTTTGTTATTATCTATGTTGGCTTGAGAAAGCCAACATACTGTTATACTATTTAAACTTATTATTATTCTCCTGAGACCAATAATTTTCAACTGTACTGTATATCCTTCTAGGGCTTTAATGCTACAGGCACCAAACTCGTCAGAGACATTGGACCTGATCTGTAGTTTGTTTCTATATCTTTTCTAGCTGATAAGACTTCAAGTTTTCTATAAATAATTATCAAAAATCAAAGATTTCCCATAGACTTGCATTGGCTGAGCAAAAATGCCCTCTCTAGAGGACAACTGCAGTCCACTAGAGGGTGCCACAGGATAAGAAATCTTTCAACTCCCTTCATTTACTTTCGTTTTCAGACAGTTAAATTTACAAATAATTGCATACTTTTCCTTTATGCCGCCAAGCAAAGCTAACATATTTGCTCATGACCATGTCAGGTAGTGACTCTCTGATGTCCAGAGGCCAGTGTGAAAGACGCTCGGGACAGTTGACTGATCTGTCACTGCTCCGATGGGGCCACTGGTGCGTCCTCACGAAACCTAATTATTTGCACATTTTTTAAGCACATTCAAGCGATCCGTGTCATCTGCTGCAGCTAACGCAGCAGCAGCTTCAGGGGCAGGCTTACGAAAACACCGAAACCAATTAAAACATTCAAGCGATTTGTGTCATTGCTGCAGCTTCAGGGGCAGGCTTATGAAAACACTGAGTGTAGGTTGAGTTTGCCTTCGTTTCATATCTCCTTTAGTGATTCACATTCAATGCTGCGCAAGAATTGCGCAATAGCACTGGTCATCAACAGAAACACGGCGTGATTTTAAAGAAGTAGGTGCTTCGCAACATGGACGGGGTGAATTTATGAATGAACGTGTGAAAGTTCTGTTACAAAACGATGTTGTTACGTATCGTCGTGCTTTTTTTAAGTGGGCATACGGAAATCCTTCACCTTTCCTAGTGGGTATACGCCGTATATCTGCGTATCACGTAGACTACACCACTGATCATGAGGATAAAAAACTGAAATTGACTGCCAACAAGCAGTGAACAATTATTTACTAACTTTGAACATAAAAATGTATTGAAAATAACAAGAAGTCGTTTTAAAATGAGCACAGAAATAGCAAATTTTAGAAAAATAGAGGTTATATCTGGCTATGATAACTGACAGGAGTGAACTTATATACTCTTTTTACAAATAAAATATTGAAATAATTAAATTATTTTAAATAATTACATTATTTTTAAACTTACATTATAAATAAATATTTTTAAATGATCAATATTATTTTCCTTTTTCAACCCTCCGTTTTGGAATTGTTATTGCATATTATCAAGATGACATTTTATTTATAATCAGTTCTCATAACATAAAAATTACGTTTTTCAGAGTCTCTTAGACCCCAAAGAGAACAAGTATTAAATCACCAGTAAATGTCAATCAGCATTTTAAAACCAGCATCTAACTATATTTTTCAGGGCCAGAAATTCAAGCTACTTTTCCTCGGGTTTCCTTCCAAATATGAATGAGATATGTCCACACCTACAGACAACCATTATAAATGCTGGTGCATTGTTGACTAGCTCTATATACGTGAATGCTTATTCCAGGACATTCTAAAAATGTTGTTTCTCTTTAGGGGGTTTCTTGTTTCCTGTGTTTGTTAGGCCATTCATAACAGTGCAGCTATTGTTCACCATGCACAGATTTGGAAGAGCACTACCATAAGAAATCAATTCAGGTCATACCCCTGTCTTTGCTTGTTTGTTGCATTAAACCTTCAGGATATCATGTTTGGCATTTTGGCAAGGTTTCCTCAACAAACAGCCAAAGAAATCAGATGTCCAACAGCTGAGACTTGCCTCATGACAGATTTTAAAAAGGTCAAATGAGCTGAATGGAAATGCCGTTACACAATTAGAAAATAAATAAAAGTTAATATAAAAGTTGCTTAAGTATTTAGATCATCTGATGTATATAAATGCAACAGGGCCCAAAAGTCTAGTGATTTTCCCATGCGATCTTCTGCAAACATGTTTCTGATCCCTGATCCTGTCCTTGTCTTGAATCTCTGCAGGTATGGAGCACCTGGTGAAGGAGCTGAGTTTGCTTCTCAAGCTGCTGGAGAACGAGAGCGTGAGTTCAGCCACGGCAGAGAAGATGAGTGTGGTCAGAAACTTGGTCAAACAGCTGCAGCCATCCGGTGAGATTGAGCAGCAAATACATAACAGCTGAGCAGAAACGCTTGGCCAAGGCCCCGCTGAAGAGATCCACACATTCATAATTATAGCAACATCAAAATATTTCAGACAGCACAATTACTCTGAGCCTAAAAATGTTACTCCAAAAAATTATAGGAATAAAGTGTATGTTATGATTGACATTCTGTTTTGTATTTCATATAAGAATTTATGTGTGAAGGGTAAATCACATTTGTAATATTGCAAATTAATTCAATTATGTTTGTTTATTTCATAGTGAATGGATCTGACTTTGTTTATTTGTTTATTTCATAGTGAATGGATCTGACTTAATATACATAAACACGTCTCTCTATGGAAATGGTACCAGCTTTGTTGAATCATTGTTTGAAGAATTTGGTGAGTTTATAGTTGTGTTTACTCAAAGTTCATTTGTGCAAATCATTCCCATTTTTTCTGAATTTAGTTTTGCGAAACAGTGCCTAAAACGTTATTATACATAAATACTAAAATAAATGAACTTTTCCACAACATTCTAATTTATTGAGATGCACCTGTAGGTGCTGCTAAAAATAGCAGAAAGAATGGCAGCTTTGTTTGCGTTATAATCATATTTCCAGGATGTCATATGAATTGCATGTGTCGTAATTGTTCAGTTTTGATGTTTGTTCTCAGACTGTGACCTGCAGGATCTCAGGGACTCGCCCGAAGAGATGAAAGATGTGGAGCAAGACGAGGCATCCAAGCACCCGCCCACAAAATCGGTACAAGAATATATATGAAATACAAAAACATAAAAAAGAGTAATTTTATTCAGCGAGGATGCATTCAATTGATCAAAAGGGACAGTAAAGACATTTGCAATGTTACAAACTATTTCTATTTCAAATAAATGCTGTTCTTTTAATTGTTCTGTTCATCAAAGAATCCTGAATCCTGAAATGTATCACAGTTTCCACAAAGATATTAAGCAGCATAACTGGTTTCAACATTGATAATAATAAGAAATGTTTCTTGAGCATCGAATGATGATTTCTGAAGGCTCATGTGATGCTGAAGACTATAGTCATGGCTTGCTGAAATAAATGACATTTTAAAATATATTCAAATAATAATAATAATATTTCACAACTCTTGTTACTGTATTTTTGATCAAACAAATGCAATCTTTAAAATGCAAGTGTTAAAAAATCGTACTGACCAAAACGTTTGAGCACTAGTCTACGGCAGCTAAAATAAATATGAAAATAAATTCACTTTTTACAGTCAATGTATGCAAATGAGAGTAATTAAAATGATAATAGTCTTTTAGACAGAAAAATCTTTTTATTTTATTTTAAAGCATGCAACTTTGAATTTGTTAATAATTGTTTTTTCCAGAGTCCCACAGACACACCTCCTCCCCTTCCTACCACACCTCCTCCTGATGATTACTATGAAGAAGCCGTCCCGCTCGGAACGGGCACAACGCCCCAGTATATAACTACTCGCAGTAAGTGCAAACATATTCAAGCCTAAGAAGGCACAATAACAGCCATTTATGAAACCTAACACAGTGTGCTTATTTATCAGGTAACTCCAGCCCTCCAAACTCAATAGAGGATGCTTATTATGAAGATGCTGACAACAATTACCCAACAACTCGACTGAACGGGGCCAGCAAAAACTCCTGTAAGGAACCTGTGCTGTTTGTTATGCTTGTGCCTATCAAAATGTGCTAGATTAGTTATAATATCTGTTGATGTCAACAGACAATGATTCAGATGCACTCAGCAGTTCTTATGAGTCCTACGATGAAGAGGATGAGGAAGCTAAAGGCAGAGAGAGGACACACCAGTGGCCTACAGAGGAGAGTCCAGATGGTCAAATGAAAGACTGCCGCAAATGTGCATTCCTGCTTCGCAAGAAACGCTTCGGTCAATGGGCTAAGCAGCTAACAATAATTCACGAGAACAGACTTCAGGTGAATCGCACTGGAACTGTTAAAAAAAGGGAGACAATCTAACATCTGGTCAATTCGGCAAGCTCTAAACATAGAATTTGTTCTCCACAGTGCTTCAAGAATCCCAAAGATCGTTCTCCACACGTTGACCTCCCCCTGAATCTCTGCAATGTCATCTACGTGCCTAAAGATGGACGCCGCAAGAAGCACGAGCTTCGTTTCTCCATGCCGGGGGGAGAGGCGCTAGTGCTGGCTGTACAGAGCAAAGAACAGGCCGAGAGCTGGCTCAAGGTGCTTCATCACAATATATGACATAATATAACGGCTATTTGCAAACTAAAACAAGTTGAAATTATTTTATGTGAGAAGAAAGAGATGAAAGTCATGCACAATTATGAACTTGGAAATATCAGAAATGTAAAAATAGTGATTTCCAGGCCTGACATTTTTTTTATAGTGAATGTAATGCTCAACAGTGTTATTTTAGTATTGTTTATATACTATTATAGCATTTATTAATATTTTATTTAGCTTTTATTTATATATTTTCAGCTTTCATTTTAATTTTAGTTGCTTTTGTCCTTTATTTATATATATA